ATCGCCTCCGTGGGGCCACGAGTCGGCTCTTCCACAGGAGGTCCTTGGCCATCCACAGGCCAACTGCTTCCGCCCGGGCTCTGGCCTGTGGCCACTGCCACCGCCATCGCCCTCACAGCAATTCCGGTCTCTTGCACCTGTGCCGCTCCCTGACCACCAGCCACCACTGCGGTGTCTCCAGCATGACCTTGTGCATCACTAGCGGCAGACGCGTCTGCGTGATTTGGGCTCATACCCTGTTGATGCTCTGATGCTGGGCTTACATCTGGGAAGGCAGCATGGTAGTTCGGCTCCATTGCAAGCACGGTCGAATTGGAAAGATTTTTTCACGATCTGCAAAAGGTGTCACTGTTGTCTGCCTGGAAAGCTGTGTTGTACAAGTTTGCACTTCAGGCTTCAACATTCGACTCAAGGGGCCTTTTCCGCAGCCCACCCTTGATCAAGAAAACAAACATCAAGGTACATCGACAAGCCTTCGCTCTCTATACACGGCACCCTTCTAGCATGGTCCTTCAAGTCGCATCCGGTCTATTGTGCATCAACAGGGACCCTAATATAGCACCCTAAATAGTAGGATCCTTATTCTAAGGACCCCCCAAAATAAGGTACCCCTATTTTCGGAAACTCCCATGTCATTGTAAAGTAAGGCATCAGGCTTCGAGAGCCTTTAGGATTCGCTGGCGACTTCGACCTGAACCCCAAACCCTAAACCCAGAGACTCCAAAACCCCCTAATTAAGGAATATACCTTCAATTATAGTAAGATCCCAAATATGATTTAAGGAATATTCCTGAATTAAGGGATATTGGAGTCTCTGGGAACCGGATCTTCCCTGCGAAGCTTGGCCCGGAGCATTTTCTGTGCCTCGAGCTCTTCCACAAAGCCGCGGGTTCGGACAAATCGGTTCCTGCAGTGTAGGGTTTAGGCTTTAGGCCTTAGAGTTTCGGGTTTAGGGTTTAAGCTTTAGGGTTTAGGGTTTAGGGTTTAGGGTTTAGGGTTTAGGGTTTAGGGTTTAGGGTTTAGGGTTAAGGGTTTAGGGTTTAGGGTTTAGGGTTGAGGGTTTAGGGTTTGGGGTTTAGGGTTCAAGGTTAAGGGTTTAGAATGCACGAAGGTTCGAAGGCTTTTGGCTTTGGGGCTGACGGGAGCCGACGATGTCGTTCAACACAGAAGTGGCCATGCGAAGCTGCTCCAGCGAAGTATCTGTGCCTGATTCTACACACTAGACTCCTCTTAGCTGGTTAAAGAAAACCCCAAACCCCAAACCGAACCTTGAACCCATCCCCCAAAAAGCCCCTACACGTCTCCAACAGATTGAATCTCTGCACCTCTCCCGCATTGAAGCGCTAAGCTCCCCAAACCCTTCAAAGCGGTGATCCCGGATGAGGCTTTAGGCATTGGATCTTTCGGGTTTAGGCTTATAGGGTTTAGGGTTAAAGATGTTTGGGTCCTGGATTCAAAGGGGAAATGGAGGGACCCTTATTGGGGACCCCTACCCTTCTTTAAGGGTATATACGTAGGGGTCCCTACTAAGGGTCCCTCCTTTTCCCATCCCCTTTGAAGGATGCTGCTCGTGTTTAGGGTTTATAAGGCTTAGGGCTGAAGTTGGCCTCGCCTACATCTCCCCATCTTCCTGGGAGGATCATGGGACTTAGTAAGTAGGGGTTCCTTAAAGGGGATCTATAAGGGGTACCATAAGGGTTTTAAGGTTCAAGGATCATGGGACTTAGCAAGTAGGGTTATATCTACCTTAACTGGGCTTATAAGTAACTATAGTTACCTTTCTTAGAACCCCAGTTCCTAAGTCCCATGATCCTTTAGTGCCTTTGACTCAGGTTCAGCCGTTCTGCAAGCTAAGACCCCCAAGCTGCATGGCTTTAGAGATTTGGGAGCTCCCGAAAATTATGCGTACCTTACGTTGGGGTCCTTCTAATAAGGACCTTACTCTTTAGGGCACTATATTAGGGTCCCCTATTTTCGGAACTCCCATTTCTGGTTCAGAGTCAGACACCTGGCTGCGGAATTTCACGGGAACTCAGCTTTTGATGTTTAGAGTATCTGAACCTGGCTGGGAGTACTCCCAGAACTAACATGCATAACTCCGGCACAGGTCGAGCAAACTAAGCTTGCACAACATGACGAAAGCATCGCGAGCCTGAGACATGATAAACCCTAAACCCTAAACCCTTAACCCTCAACCTAAACCCTAAACCCTAAACCATAAACCCTAAACCCTAAACCCTAACCGACCCTAAACCATCTAGGCCGTAGCTTCTCGAAGCCGGGATCTCCTGAAGTGGACGTTGCCCTGCCCGTCAAAGGTGACTGCGGCAACCTCAATGAGCCAGAGAAGGGTTCCTTCAAAGGGATATAAGGGTTCCTTAAAGGATCTCTAAGGGTTCCTTAAAGGATCTCTAAGGGTTCCATAAAGGATCTATAAGTCTATAAGGGTTCCTTAAAGGATCCATATGGGAGTTTCCGAATATTAGGGGCACCTTTAGGGTTCCTTTAAAGGGCTACTATAAGGGTACTAGAAGGGTCCTTTTAAGGGTACTGTAAGGGTTTATAGAGTTCCGAAAATTAAGGGTACCTTACTTTGGGGCCCCTATAATCAGGATCCTACTATTTGGGGTACTAGACCAGGGTCCCCTATTTTCGGAAAGTCTCATATGGGTGGTTGTCAACATTATGGCCCCTTTTGGGTCCCAATATAATACGGCACCTGATGTTTAGGGTCCCCAAAAAGGGACCCTCATCTTGACAACTACCCATATGGAGCCAGCTGGACGTTCGTAGGTGCTTGAACCGTGAGGTTCAAGGAAGGTAGTTGAGCTGGAGGCAGCAGCCGTAAGCAGCTACCATCTGCTGGCAAGTTCTTGCTGTTGCAGTTTAACATGGACCTGAACCTGCAAGCAACAAGATCTGGAAAACTTCGCTGGTCAATCACTCGCAGCACTGGCAACTGACGGAGGGCACTCTGCCACATCACAGCTCACCAGCTTGACCTCTAGTGCCCAAATAAAAGTCTAAAAAAGCGCGATCCCACATGTTTGCTTAGAGATGAGGACCACGGGTTCCGGTTTGGGGTTTATGAATTCGTGACCAATTCGGAATCCATGTCTTTATTTGGTTATCGAAAGAAGACCACATATACCGATAGCAGCTAGACTACGAGCACTGCAGATGACCTTCGTTTAGTAGATACAAAACATACGCTTAAGACAATCAACAGCAGTGCTAACGACCGGTGGCACAGTGCCCCATGTGCTGCGCTAGGTCTCTAGGCAGTGCTTCAGCAACATATTCCGACGCCTCCACGGTTGGGAACTTCCTGTTCTCGTTTAGCACAACTTGTTGAGCTTAGTTTCGGGTCTCATCTGACCGTCTGGTAGGAACCTTACCCTGAACCGAATAGCCCTATAACTTACAACCTAAACCTCGAAGACCGTAAACTTCTACTGACCTCATGCCCCAATCCTTTGGAACCAGGGGGGTTTCGGGTTCAATGAACTCGCTTCAGGCTGCGGCCATGCCGTCCCCGTCGAACGGGTGCTTAATCTGATCATCCCCCACCTGTCCGAGAAGCACTTCTTCACACGTGAAAGCGAAGGGCCTTGGAGGTTTCGGGGCTTGGAATTTAGTGCTCAAAGTTACGGCTGAGGGTATAGACGATATAGAGCATAGGGATTGGCAAGTTGGGACAAAGCTTGACAGGAAGGACAGTTGACGCGGAACTGACATGCGCAACCTAGGAGCCCTAAACCACAACATCCTGAAATCCCAAGCTTGAAAGCCTGAACCGCGAAGCCTCCAGACCCAGAGCCCCTGTCAGCTGCGGTGTCGCACCTTGAGCTTGGCGGGGCCGTTGCGGTAGTAGGTGCCTCGGAGCCCCTTGGGCAAGTCCTGCCGGCACGGGCGGTTTGAGGGGCTCGCGGTTGGGGATCAGGGTTTAGGCTTCGGGGGGTTAGGTGCAGGAATGTCGATGTGGGGTCGGGCGACTTCTGGGTGACGCTGGCTTCTGGCATGTGGCGAGTTGCTCTCCTGGGAACTGTTGCTTGCAGTACTCACATACTGTACTACTACGATTGTGCGCACTACTATAATTGCAAACGCTGCCCTTTAGAAATGGCAGCCTTGCTCGCACGACTACCAGTACATAATTTGTTGTGTCATTGCTTGACCCTAAACCTTAAACCCTAAAAGCCCAAACCCAAGACCCCAAACCCTGAACCCGAAACCGATCAACATTGCTTAAACAACTCTGAGCTGTTGGGCTGTGCCCGCCGACTACCATAGAAACCCGAAACCTCCAGAACACTCCAAACCCTAAACCCTGAAAAACCCTAAACCCTAATTCCTTCCCCTCATCTGGCCTGCGATCTGCCTTCGGAGCTAAAGCTTTCAAAGCAGGCGCACTTTTTCGGCTGAGGGAGCCAATCGAGCTTTCATAAGAATCCGTATGCCAAGGCAAAGCCGTAGCATCAAAGAGAAAAGTCTCCACGATGGCCGTAGGTCATACTCCTCGTTGAGGTGGCGGGGCGGTGGTGGAAAAGACTTGAGAGGAAGAAGCAGAGCACAGGCCTGTCCAGGTACACTTTCTTCCGACGACAAACTGACCTGTGCAGCGAACGGGCAGGAATGCAAGGCTCATTCCTTCCCCTCATCTGGCCTGCGATCTGCCTCCGGAGCTAAAGCTTTCAAAGCAGGCGCACTTTTTCGGCTGAGGGAGCCAATCGAGCTTTCATAAGAATCCGTATGCCAAGGCAAAGCCGTAGCATCAAAGAGAAAAGTCTCCACGATGGCCGTAGGTCATACTCCTCGTTGAATCCCCACCCCACCTTGCTGGCGCTGCTGGTAGATATTGTAGGCGAGGAGCACCCAAGTGACGAAGTCGAGGGGCCGGGCACGGAGGGCAACTTGGGTAGCAGCTCCGGCAAAATTGTTCCCATTGTCTTGGTAACCGTAGGGACCATGGTCGTTAGGAGGGGCCTGAAAAGGCCGAGTCAACTGTGCCGGGGTCGTCGTGTCTGCATGCCGAGCTGCAGGGTGAGCCACTCCACGATGAAGCTTTCCAGCTCCCCTGCCAAAGCCAAAGTTTGCGTGCACAGCTCTCGGAGCACGTGGCTGGCTAAGGCGAGGCATCCACGAATGAAGAGGCGAAAGAGCAACGCCAGGAGCAGAGCCACGACCCGAGGAAACAGGCACATCAGCCCAAGCAGCGCCAGTGTTTTCCAACGCCAGGTCCGTGGCCAGCAGAGCGAAGGGCCGGACCACCTCCAACCAAACGGCAGTGAGCTAGTAGGTGCACTTCCGGTTGCGGTGGTAGGTCGTAGGGGCAGCGGTTGGACGGGAGCCAGAGGTCTCGAGCTGGGTCCCGGCGGCGTCGCCGAATGAACTGACGTAACCAACCTCGCCAAGACCGCCGTCAGTTTGCGCTGCAAACTTCCTGAGCGCCAGCGCGCCGCCGAGGCCCGCGACGCTTCGTCCCCCAGGATCTCCGCCGCCGTGCGACCACCATCCACGTCCACAGTACCCAGCCCATCCGCGGCCCAGCCCACAGCTGACATGAGCGCCTCCGTCGCGCCCTGCACATCTCCAGTAGAGGCATCACCAGAGTCCCCACGCGCCGGCGCCGTACGGCTGAGCCGGAACACCGCCCGTTTGGGAGCGATCGTTCCAACTTCCGCCATGTGTCTGCACCAGGTCCTTGTACCTAAAGGTCCCTGCGCACTAGAGCCAGAAGAGGGCGCCGGGGTGGTAGCTCAAGCTTGTCCACATGCTGCAAGGCCAAATGCACGGCATCCTTGGATTCGGGCTTGGCTTCCGCATCCACTTTAATGGTCATGGCCTCGTGCAGATAGTACTTAAGAGTGTCTGGACGTGACCACCGGCCCATGTACTGTAACTTCGGCAGATTCTCGTAGACCCGAAAATGCCACGTTGCACCTCCGGAGCGGAGGCTGCTGAGAGTGAAACCTCGGTCGCCCAGATGAAGACGGCACAAGCCTTCGGCAAAGAGGCGGCTCCATTGTCGCCGGGCCACCCTGAACAGAATGCGATCATGGCGGGTGCCTGCGGTCCACCACCGAAGCCACCTAATCAAGCACAGGTCCTTAACCAGCACGAATTGGGTCTGCCACAGCCGCCGAGTCTTTGGCTTCCGGATGGTGATCACGAGGCCCCCGGCCTCGAGCTCCTCAGCACAGCCATCTGGGAAGGTGAGGTCCAGATCCTCAAGGCCGCGGTCTCGCCCGGCCTAAGTAGGGCCTCGAAGCTGAGCCATGAAGCCAACATGGCTCCCCAATAGCACTCCCTCGCAAAGCCCTCCGTGGAGTTACCTGTGGCCAGCAAGGTAATAAGTAGCGCTCGCAACACCGATCGGGACATGGGTATTCTGGATCGCACTGGTTGAAGTACTCGCCAGCCTCTGATAGCAGCTCAAGATCCTCTAAGCAGCGGGCCCGATAAGTGCCAGGCACGTTGGAGCCCAATCAGCCCGAGCCTGACAAAGTAGAGCTTCTCCCCGCTGCGGTATGCTTCGTCAATGCACTTCTCAAGGACCCTATCAATCGTGGGCGGCGGCGTGTCTCTGGTCAAGCGACAGCCCAAGCTAACAGCTAAATCGAACAACCATTGAGCCGCCACCCGCAAACCCCGGCGGTATGCCGGAGTGAGGTTAGCATTGCGAAGGCGTCCACCGTACGAGGGCATCCGCCACCGCACGGCCCAGCTCCCGACTCACTTCTGTCTGAAAACGAGGCTGCCACTCACAATGCACATGGGTCCCCGGACACTCTTTCTCAATGGCTTGGGCCCACGGTGCATTCGTCAAGATTCGCAATGGTAGCTTGGGCACCGCACGGCCCCGAGTCTGACCAAAAGCACAGCCGTCGACTTTGAGCAAGCGAACACCCTCGACGTGCAAGAGGCTCTCTGTGGTAGCCAGGCCCCAGGCCCGACTGCGCCGTGGATGCAGCAGCCACCAGCCTGCACGACTGCCCAAGCCAGGTCCAGGCAACACTGCCACACCACAGCTCGGAAGCCTCAGCAGCTCTGGGATCAGCGCAGTCGCATGCTTGCCGGAGGCCCCGCCGGGGAGGCCCACCTGGCCGTGTGTTTTCCCACGCGGTGAAGCCTGTCCATGGCGGCGCCAGCCACAGCCAGTTGGTAAATCCCCGGGCCACCTCAATGTGCAACTCCGCGACTCGGGTTTGCCCGGCGCCCCCCTGCAACAGATCCAAAGGTGGACCCATCTCTAGGTTGAGGTCCTTGTGTGCCTGGGTGACGATCGCATCTCCCGAGCAGACCTCGCACCCACGGAGCCGCAAACTCTCTTGGATCCCGAAAGCCTGCAACCAGCCTGGAGGAGCGCGAGGAGCAGGAAGCGGCCGAAACCTCGACGGATGATCGGCCGGGTTTGCCGCAGTCTCTATCCACAGGACAGCCCCCGAAACGCCCCCCAGGATCAAGTGGGGCAGGGCGCCTCTCAGCAGGTTGTTTAATCGCACACTTGACGATCTTCCCTTGGCCACGGCACCGACCACGACACGCGAATCATTGAGTGCCACTATGATGCAATTCCTGTGTCCCCCGCTGGCTGCAATACGGCACATTTCCCGGCGCCAAGCACGCAGCTCCTGTAAGTTGACGTGGGAGGTCTCGCGAAAAGTGTACGAGGCGACCACATGCCAAGGTAGGCACTCGCCGACCGTGCTGGCGAAAACCGAGGGCACCTTCGGAACACTGTCGCTCAGTTCGCTCTCCAGCCCTCGGTCAATGCGCACGGCCTCGCCTTTGATCTCGCTCTGCCTCCAGAGCTCTTCTGCCAGGGCCTCGGGGGCCTCCGTGACCACAGCTCCACCTGAGGTCGGAGTCGCGTCGGTCGCCAGCAAGGTGCTTGACACCCGGCGGCGCATGGAAGACACAGCAAAAGGCAGATGCAAAGCACACGACCGCAACTCGTCCAGCACGTAATTCGGCAGCTTGATCCACCTGTCCGGAGGCATCCCATCCACGAACTTATACATACGATGGTGCAATGCATAAAGCTCCCGACGGTATTGGAAGATATAGGCCAAATAGCCCAGCACCTGCCGAAGAACATCTCCACTAGCGAAGCCAGCCGACACAATCTTGAACAGGAGCATCCAGACCTGCCTGCGCACGTCCTTGGGCGCTCCGACCTTGCCGGCCACGCCGTCTACTTCAGCACCCCACGCCTTGAAAGCACATTGGTACCGAAACTCCTTGTGGATGGCACGCTGCAAGCCCGCCTCCTCGTACGCCTGCTCGGCCGCCGCTACCTTCTGCACGTCCTCATCCTGTGGCAGAGGGGGTGGTGGCAGGAAGCTTCCATCCAATGGCACCGGCCGGGGGAGCGAGCACCTCTGGCAGATCAGGAGGTCGTCTATGTACACCCCCTGCCAGGACGGGCCGCGTGGAACCGGCTCACCATCTGCAACACCGACTCGTGCACAGCCTGCGCTATATCACACCCATTGACGTCGCCCATCGCTAGCACCCTGAAGCACAGCCTGTACTCCCGATGAGGTAGAAGGCCAAGTTCTCGCCGAACCTGTGCCGAAAGCCGCCGTCCCACAGCATTGTGCTTAATCCAGTTGTCAGGGAGACGCAAAGTATAATAATAATTCCGCAAGTCATCCCCAGACCCCCTTAAGTACTCAGTGGGTTGAAGCAGCAACCTCGTAAAGCAGGCCCCGCTCGGGAGCTTGGCCCAAGGCAGCTTCTCCATGGTGGCGTTCTCCGGCCGCCTGTCAAAGATCAGTCTGTCTTCTGCTTCGTTCTTAGCGACCCCAAACAAACCTCCCACCAGCAGCCGCCCTTCACGATCGCGAGGAAGAGCGTCCTCCAAGAACGGGAGCGCCATACCATGCCGAACTAGCCTGCGCACCAGCTCGTCCTCTTCACTCGGCGCAACCTGGTGGCAGGCCACGGGCACATCACCCCAGGCATCCTCTGCCTTCTTAAGGCCAGCCAAGTCCTGCAGAATTGCCGCACGTTCGGGCGGCAACCACATACATGGATCCACCAACCCTGCCTTAGGAGGCAGAGCCACCCGCGAGGCGACCACCGGCAAAGCGGTCGAAACCTTTCCCGGTACCTGGGCCGTCCCCGCATAACATGCACCGCCTGTACAGCGGACTTGCCTGAGAAGCTCATCTATACAACCCCTCTTTCCGGAGCACCCAAGACGACCCAGAACCAAGTCCAAAGTAGCAAATTCCTCCACCTCGCCAAGGAGCTCAAGAGCGAAAGCCCGGGCTTCCGCCGCACATCTGTAGCTCACTCGCGGCTCATATGCACTTGCACCCTCCGCCGGACACCCCAGGGTCACGAAGTTGCCCCAGGCCACAAACGTATTCACGAAGGCCCGGGACCACCATGACAAAATCCCTGACTCATCCGACGGGAAGCTCGCTGCCACCACCACTTCGGGGAAGGGCAAGGCACATGGAAAGAGTGGCACATGGTCGCCGGACCGCTCCAGCAGGAAACTTTGGGCCCCCTCGAACCACGAAACATAAGAAACAAATCTCGAATTCCCGAAAACCAAGACAGGATGCACAACTTGCTCGCCCACCTCGCCATGCAGAAAAACAGGGGCAGTCACTTGCGCGGGGCGGCTGCCATGCCGTCCCCGTCCTCGTCGGCTGCGCTCCCGGCCGAGTGCCCTTCACGAACCTTCTTCTTGAGGTCGGCCAGGGCCTTCACATAGGAAGAGATGATCGCCATCTCCTGCTTCGAGCCGGCGAACTCCTTCTTGGTCAAGGGGTCTTCGAGACCCGTCAGGAGCCAGGCCGTTTGCCAGTCGCCCCCCTGCAGCACACACTGGACCTTGCTTTTCAAGTTCTGGATCACTTGTGCCGCTGCGGCGGCTGACTCCCCGTTGCGGAGCAACTCGTAGACCTCGACGTCCTGAACCGCAGCCCTCTGCAGTCCCTTGAACTTGCCCCAGCTCTGGCGCTTGACCCAATCGTTGAGGGTCCATGGCTGGCCGGCCGTCACGCCGAGCTCTCTCACAACCTCGGCCTCGAACTGCTGGATGATTCGCCTGGGCCGCTTCCGGATGCACTCGTGCAATCGGTGGAGCGTGGCCACTGCCTGCATGCCCTTCCCCAAGTGCCCTGTCTCCTCGTCGCTGTCGTCGGAGTCCGAAAAACCAAGCAGGTTGAGGTCCCGACCTGCTTCCTTGCCTTTCTTCTTCCGCCGGCCCTCGCCTTTTTCCAAAGCGAGAGTCATCAACATCAAAGGCATCAGCTCGTTGGGGCTCTGGCCCTCGGCCAGACCTTTGCGAATCATTTTTCGCATGTCCAGATCGCCTCCTTCTTCCCGCGATTCCCGGGAGCTGCGGCTCTTGGCCGTCTGCCCCGGAGGTAGAACTCGACTCTTCCGGCGGCTGCGAGGGAAGTCGTCCTCTTCGTCGTCCGTCTCGTCTTCGTCTTCGTCTTCCTCGTCCTTCCAGAGCCCTTGCAGGCTCTTCAGATCCTCTTTCAAGGACCCTCGGCTCTTGCCAGCCGCCTTCGTGCTTCGAGGCATCTCGGCCCCACTGCTCTCCAGCTCTGCCCCGCCTTTTTCGATAGCCTTCCACGCAGCCTGGCAGGGCCTCAAAGGAGGCAGATCCTTGGGGCGCAGCCCGGTCCATCCAGCAGGTGCTTGCTCGGTCACGGCCGCTAAGGGCACACGCACAAAAGAGACCTCGTGCTCACCCTGCTTTCCTGTAGCAGTCTGCGGCAGGCCAAGGGTGGCCTTCACTGAAGTCCCGATCACAGCGTCTGCGCCCGGCAGCCCGACTATCCACCCACAAAGGGAAACTGGACCCTTCTGGCTGTCACAAATGACGTACACGATATCTTCCAGCGCCATGGCGCCGCTCTATCGCAACCCCCTTAAAAGACTTGAGAGGAAGAAGCAGAGCACAGGCCTGTCCAGGTACACTTTCTTCCGACGACAAACTGACCTGTGCAGCGAACGGGCAGGAATGCAAGGCTCAACCCTAAACCCTAAACCCCTAACCCCTAAACCCCTAAACCCCTAAACCCTAAACCCTAAACCCTAAACCCTGAACCCTAAACCCCTAAACCCCCTAAACCCCCCTAAACCCCCCCGAAACCCGCAACCCTGAAGGCCCCCGGGCCCCTCAAACCCTACAAATTCCTAAGGAAAAGCCGACTCCTCCGAATGCAGGGTGAAGCATTCTTCGCTGCTCGCCTTGTGCCGCACTGTGCTCGTCTGGATGTTAGCGTTAAGGATTTAGGATTCAGGGTTTTTAGGGTACTTCGGATTCAGGAGTAAGGCTTCAGGGCCTGGGCTATGGCCTGGGGATGTCGGCGTTGAGGGTTCAGTGGCCTGTCTAATCGCCCGCTGGGCTTAGGGTAAGGGATAGAGTCTGTTATTGGCGGAAGTTTGGGAGCTTCTTGGGTCAAGGCTTCCCGGGCAGCATAGAAGAACATGGGAACGGCTGCAGCCCTCACAGTGGGCGTTGACCTGCCCTGTGGTGCACAAAGCTACCAAGAGGAAGCGTTCGGTCCCGGACAAAACGGGACTTACGCTGAGAAATGGCTGTAATCAACTAGAATACGGGTTCCTTTAAGGGGTTCCCATATAAAGTACCCTTAGTAGTATAGGGCCCCAAATTAGGGGATCTACTACGGCCATGTGCCACGAATGACGAGGCAGCGAGGCCACCCTTGGTTACTGAGACTGCCTTTCAACCTCTCCCGACATGGTATCTTCCTCAACTTAGGGCCTAAACCCTAAACCGGCATCCGAAGATGGGCTGCTGGAATCAGTTCTTACCAAATCCATGTCCACGTAACATCCGTCAAGGCGTCTTTTTCTTCAAACCTCCACGAATACCAGCTGTAGACACATGAAACTCCTACTTCTCAGACCCCAGACCCCAGACCCTGAAACCGAAATCCTCATCCCCCTTAGGTCCGAGCCCAGGAAGGCCTAAGCGAACCATAAAGGCAAGAGGGCAGTAAGACTCTTAAAGCCGGAAACTTGGAATGGCAGGGGACTTAGTAAGTAGGTTATAAGTAGAGTTATAAGTACCCTAAATGGAGTTGCCCCAATTATAACCTTACCTATGACCTACTTACTAAGTCCCCTGCCCCTCCAAGTACACTCTACAGCCTAAACCCCATAGATCCCTTTAAGGAACCCTATAGATCCCTTTAAGGAGCCTTTACTAAGAACCCTTACTAAGTCCCCTGCCCTTCCAAGAAGAACCCCGAATTGCAAAACTCACGACTCCAGGGCTCCCTTGAAAGCACTTAGGTCAGGGGCCTTGGGGTTTAGGGCCGTAGGGTTTTAGGGTTTGGGGCCTTGGGGTTTAGGGATTTTAGGCTTTTAGAGTCCAGGGCTTCAGGGTTTAGGGCTTTGAGGGTTTTAGGGTTTAGGGTTTTAGGGTTTAGGACTTTAGGGTTGTAGGGTTTAGGTCCAGGGTTGTAAGCTTTAGGGTTTCGGAGGTCCGACACACCCTTTCCAAACCGCAGCTTCGTCCCGGGCAGACTCGTAGCCCCGTGCAAAGGCCTACTTCGAGTTCAAGCTTCGACCGAGGTGAATTTCAGAGGTCTCCCAACAGATTGGCGTTGGGACATAGATCTGTATGGCTTGTGGGCTTCAGCTCAGCCATTGTATGATTTGCCGGATCTGCGTTTAAACCCTAATTCGACGCTCGAACTTGAGGGTTTGCGATGGCTTTAAGTCTCAAGGTTTTTCAAGGCTTTTAGGCGTAGACATCAGCTTTTGAAGCGGGAGGTTGGTTGACGGGGCTGGAGATTTTTTGTCTCAAGAAAGCCATGAAGCGCTCTCGGGGGCTTTTGTGATGGCTTTGTGGAGGTTCAGGAAAGGAAACACGTTCACACTGAACATGACAGCTCGTGTTGCAGGATTTAGATGCTCTGTCAGTGTTCACTGTGCTCATGCAGAAACGGGAAATTGAGGAAACGCTTACTCGGCGAAGAGCGGATCACCGACGAGCGCTGTGCCAGGGTTTCGCCCTGTGAAATCAATGATGCCAAACTCAAATCGAAGACGCTCCATGAAAGCTGCTGAAGCCTGAACCCTGAACCGACCCTGCTCCCACCTCTACAGCCCAAAACCCCAAACCCAAACCCGCAAGCTTCAAACCCGAAACCTTGAACTCCTAAACCCCTTAACCCCTTAAACCCTCAACCCCTAGACCCTAAAGCCCTCAACTCCTAAACCCCTAACTCCCCAAACCCTAAACTCCTAAACCCCTACACCCCTCAATCCCCTCAACCCCTCCAACTCCTAAACCCGTAAACCCCTAAACCCCTGAACTCCTCAACCGCCGACCTCCTGGTCTGCTCTGCGCTGGCTCTGCACCTCGGCTCTGTCCTGAAAGATTCGGGTTGCTTCAGAGCTTTTTAGGGCTTCGGTTTCGGTTTAGGCATTTTGGGTTTAGGGTGCAGGGGTTTAGAGTTTATAGCCTACAGCTTCGGCTTAAGCATTTGGGTTTAGGGTGTAGGGGATTTAGGTTTAGGGCTCAGGACGTAGGGTGTAGGGGGTTAGGGTTTAGGGCTTAGGATTTGTTGAATGTCTTTTTCCAACTTCAAACCGAAGCTGCTGTCCGAGGGCTTCGGGTGTAGGGTTTGGGAGAGCGCCTGATAGCAAGGAATGCTCTGCACACTATACAGCCGTTACACCCCGCCACCGAAGCCAAAAGATCACCAGGTCCAGCTCCTTGTTCGGGGCATGAGGAGTTCAGAACCCGAACCCAAACCCCTAAACCCAAAAATTGAAAACACTAACCCTGAAATGCCCCCCGAAACCGAAACCACAAAAACAACAACTAAACCCTAAAACTTGACCCCCGAAAGCCTAACAACCAAAAGCCTAATACACCCGAAATCCGCAACAGCTTAAATGCGAACCTCTGAACCGTCTTTCAGAGCCCAATACTCCTTAAATGCAGGGAGACATTTTAACAATGTGGCGAGGCCTTAACCCCAAAATCTCAACCCTAAACCCTGAACCTATGATCCAAAAACCTAAATCCAAATCCAAACCCTCAACCTTATGATCCTTAACCGTAAACCCTAGGCCCTTTGATTCAAGCTACGTCCCCTAGTTCAGGACCCCAGCGCTCTCCGAAGTCACGTCGCAGCACTTTGCGCCAAGTTAGGGCGTCGGGTGGAACCCCAGCTGTAGGAACAGAGGGGCCCATGAGGACGAAAGTGGTTTAAGGTCTAAGTGTTTTGGGCTTGGGTTTTGCTGTTTTGTGCTTCAGGGAAACTTGAGGGTTTCGGTTTTGGGGTTAGCCCTGACTAGGTAATGAAGGCTAAGCCAAGACAAGATTCGGCTTCCCTGCCTTCACGGCTGGCACAGCCCGCATCTGGATTTTTTTGCCTGCGCAGCAGGTCTTACGAGTTTAGGGCTTGGGGTTTCGGGTCAGCGTTTGCACTCACACACCCAAGCAAAATTCCGGGAGCTCTGAAGCCCATATGCCTGTATGTCGTAATCCCGAGAGATGACAGGATGTCCCCAGCTTGGAGTTGCCAAACCTCAAACGCTGCAACCGAGGATGCCACGACGCTTCAGCAGAACAGCGCCCGCCACGACCTTCGTTGCTGTTGTTGTTGTTGCTCTAGCTGTTGCCGTCATCGTCATGATTATATCTGCCATCACCACCATCATTCGGATCAGCCTCATCTACATCGTCGAGACATCTTCTTTGTCAAGAAATGTCAAGACTCGACTGAGACGATAACTTTGCCACAGCATCATGTCTCTGATCCTGAGGCAATCCTGAGGTTCTAACGCCGCAGCCAACCCCACGAGCACGTTCTCCATGACTTCCGATGGCCTGGAGATACCACGTGCGTGCATCAGGTTCTGGGAATCGCATAGGGTCAGCCGCAGATGTAATGATGTAGTGGTTTATGATCTCTAACAGCATGCTTAACAGGGGCTGGGGGCTGGGAGTTACTTTGGATATGCCGTTTCTCGAGATGGAATTGCTGAAGGATCGAAGGACTTAAGGCTTGAGAGGTAGGAGATTGCAATTTGGGAGTGAAACAATAAGCCTTCTTCTCGCGCTTGATGCACTATTAATCGATTACGCCAGGGCGGTCGCAGAAAAGAGGAATGCGGGTCAAGCCTGGAAAAAGGTGGTAACTGGGGTAGAGTCTAGGGGTTCAGGGCCTGAACGAGAAACCAACGGTGAGGATCAAGCCTTGCCACACCCAGACCCGAAGTCTCTAGCCCCCAACTAGGCCCATAAGGCAACGCCTATACCCCAGACGCCTGAACTTCTGAATCCCGAACTCCCAAACCCTACAACCCAACACCTTAAAGACCTCCAAACTAAACCTCTAAACCCTAGAACCAAAAGCCTAAAACCCGAGTCTGAGCTAAACCTCCGACCTCTTTCTGGCCCTTCACGATGCCGGGGCGACTGTACGCGAGCGGAGCCTGGCAGACAAACAAATGACAAAACAAACGAATCAACAATATTTATGTATAATGATACTCCTGTTCATAATGACACTAGTAGTCGTAACCATAGATTCGAGTAGATAACAACAACAATGATAATAATAACAATAATGAGACTAGTAGTTAGTAGTCTTGACAAAGATAACAATAGCAGCAATAACCATAGTAGTAGCAATAACAACAATAAAAAGAATAACAACATCATGAACAGGGAAGCAAGTTTCATGTTAAGGGCATGAACAGCTATAATAATGTGGCTGCCAAGAGGTGTTGGTGCATGTTCTTTTCGAACTTCTGGTCTCTGGCCTTTGCTTGAGAGCCTGGGCATGTTCTGGGTTTAAGACTTATGGGTTCAAGCCCTCCCTGAAAACCTGAAGCGAGACTGGCATATTCTCTCC